CCCCAAAACCCCAAAACCCCAAAACCCCAAAACCCCTTAATACCAAGGAAATATTGGAAAATATGTCAGAACTCTTAAGAGCAAATTTGATACAAATTGGTCGTAATGGAACGGTCATTCAAAAGACAGAATGCTTTGTAGTTTTCAAGGAAATTAAACATTTTAGTTAAGAGCTTGAGCATTATTCGTGGTGCCCCTTTTGGCTAGCCTTTAAGTTTCGCTATGAGAGTGATCGTTATAACAGCATTCTTGCTTGAAGTATTCAAATTATCAGGATTTAGGCAATCATTAGGTTCAAGCTAGCAGTTAGGAGAAAGAGGGACTCCAATAGTAACAATTATTGAGCTCTTAACCTCTTCGGTCTTATTATTGATATTCGATTGCTCTTTCTGAGACTCAATATCGTTGTTTCCTTTCATATCAAGTGGATAGTTAGTATGATAAACCAATTTATTTCAGAAAGGCTGTACAGGGTTCTCACTTGGAGGGATACCTTCCTTAATCTCTTCCTCTTTTATCTTGCTTCCTTCCATTTTCCTTTCTGATCTATTTTCTTCTAAGATGAATTTAGAGAATTATTATTAAAGTGTGGAAAATTAAACGTAAACAAACACAATTTTTACTAAAAACCTTACTATTTGTGATATCTTTCTTCCTACGATAGAAGTAAGGTCAATAAAGAGGGTTTTAAAAGTGGTTCATGCTTATTGATATAAAATATGTAGATTTTTTAATATATTATGGCAAATACCTTCCCAAAAATTACCGGCATACGAAAATTAGAAAGAAATTTGAAAGCTATAGCTTATGGTGTAGCAAAATAGAAGAGTTTAAAAATAGTGTAGTTCAGAAAAGTAAGTTTTTTACTCTTCTCCCAGCTATACCATGAATTTCAACTGTCAAAAACCTTCTTGATATTTATATGTCGCTAATTCCTGAGAAGACATTGACCATAATTAATAAATAACTCCACAATCTCCAAACATTAAAAAGCATAAATCCCTTCCAGCTCTCTATAACATAAGCACACTCCTATAACAGCCAGTAGGAACAATAATCATAGTACTACATCTGAGAAAGTCTAGCTCCCCGATGACATATATCACCATCACAGAACCCTTCCGACCCATCTCTATCTCCATCATGCACGCTTTCTCTGAGTAATCTCACCTCCAAACCTTCCTTACCCATACTCAAGCCCAAGCTGAACCCCCTCCCTCAAAGTTTCCAACTCTCTCAAAGTCCCAAAACCTTCAAAACCCTAAAACCTCTGCTCATCCCCCAAAACCCCACCACAAGTCTCAAATTCCCCAGCCCCTATCCTCCCCTTCCCAGTCACAAGTCTCCCCTCCTGTGCTGGTAGGCACAGGAGGGGGCCAGCAAGGACCAGTCTTTTGAATAGGAATTGTACGTACATTTTAGGCAGAAGTAATCAATGTTTGTTAAGAAATTTGGGGTTTTGGGGTTTTGGGGTTTTGGGGTTTTGGGG